TGGAATATTTTGGAATTATTGGAATAGAACTTAGTAGAAAATGGGGGAACAGTGCAAAAAGTAGGATTTTGAGGGGAGAAACAAAAATGATAAAAAAAAACGATGGGCAAAAATGGCCATTAGTGTGGGTAAGGAGAGGTGACAAAAGGGAAGGGAAGAGAAAGGTGAGAGGGTTGGAGGGGAAGAAAGGAAACCCCCTAGCACCCATACGCCGACAATTACAAAGCAACAAATATAGGTAAATGAATAGCATACAGGAACTGTTCAGGTAACACAGTAGATATAGAGGTTGAAAGAAACAAGGATAAGCAAAGTAACTGGTGAAGTGCATGTGTAGTAAAAAAGAAAAGCGCATTCGATCAATAATAGCACGTCTGTAACGAACATCAGAAAACTTAAAAAGGCACATGAAAACAAAAATGTATATTAACAAAACGCACAATCGATCAATAATTGTATGTTTGTAATTGACATCGGGAACAAATTTCAGGCACATCAGAAAAAGAAAAAGTACATCAGAACAAAAATGCATGTTTATATACGTATTAAAGTTAAAATAACTAATATGAAAGAAATGTCGCTGACAGAGTCAGTGTGAAGTGCGGTGTCTGGAACCGATGTGTAAGATGCAGCGCCATGAGTCTGATCACAAGTTTCGAAGCTTCCTACCAACTGACGATGGTTGCTGCTGAACTGAATCCAGTTGCCAATTTGCGTCTACAAGAGTCACGTATGCCAGCAATGTTTTTCTTGTGTCCGGAAATCTATTATAGCACCATGCGATCCCTAACGAGCGCACCTTTCGCACGGCCTATCTTGCTAAGATTATATACGCTGTTGGCTTCCTAGATGGACCATTGCCGTTATGATCCAAAGCGTTCCAGGAGTGCGGCCACAAGTAGGGCCCAACCTGAAGTGGTGTTAGCAAACCTGGAAATAAACATTAAGCTACTGCTCAGATATACAGACGAAATGGCTCTGTTATCATATTTCGTTTACTAAAGATGTTTCTTTTTTGAGAAATTCAAAACCGGCTAACGCACGCGATGATTTTTTTGTTTTTAATACGAAAAGGTTACCAGCATTAATCCATCCGGTCTCCATTCAGTTGGCGGTGTTGCCCAGAAAGGATGGATCTGTTTCCGCGGTGCACAGGGCTCCACGCCGGTTGCAGTGGGTACTTATCTCATTTACCGCCGTGACGTAAGAACCTTGCGGCCATTACCCGAAATACCAAAAAAATACACACTCAAAAAAAGTTTCAGGGAAGTAGTGGCGCGTGCCGAAGTTGGAGACAAATGTGCCCTGCGAGGGGGGGAGGGGGGGAGGGTCAATGATACCTTAAATAGGGAGAAGAGGATGGAAGCTAAAGGAAGCTAAACCTAAAGCTCAAAAAATTTTAAAGGATAAAAGAGAGCAAGAAGGGGGGGAGGGGGGAGGGAGTGAGACAGGAAAATTGTAAGAAAATTTTGTGATAAAGGAAAGGAACGGCGAAACGCAAGGATGTGGCACCTGAAACAATTGTAGTGCAGCTTAACTAAATAATCTCATTATCTGCATTCGTTGCTTTATGTAAATTTTTAATTTTTTTAATCAACAAGATTGGCTGCATTCGCAATGAGGATGCAGCTGTGATTACTCAGCATGTTTTCGTCGGTTATCTTGATATTCCTCCCCTTTTTTTCCATTACCAGCGTCGGCGTGATGGCGCCCCGATGATACCATTTCAAGTATCGGATCCAATGGCATAAACGCCATTACCTTACAAACGTTTTGCCAGCCCTTTTGCGCGCTGAGCTGAGAGATATTGCATTTTGGTCAGGTCATTGCGTATAGCAATTACGCGGCCGTGGAGAATGAAGTCTTTTGCGAGGAAGCGTTTCTAGCTGTCAAACAGCTGCTTGTCGCCAGATGTGAGGAAGCGGACGATCAGAAATTTGTAGGGCTCCCGGTCGGCCCAGTGCAGAGACTGGATTTGGAGGTCATTCATCTCATTTTCAGATCGGGACAGACCATCGCTGAGAAGCAGTTGGAAAAGATCGGCGGGCCTTGTCACTTTCACCGTAGTAGTGCCGTCATTCTGCGTGCTTCCACTCTGCATTTGCCGAAATCAAAGCCAAAATTTGTTTGGCATCATAGTTTTCTGCTAACACCCATCTGGGAAATTTGCTCTCTATCGCCATTTCAATTTGAGGATGATCGGTATCTTCTCCCATGTTATCCAGCTGTCTTAAAATTCGTTCAATCTCCTCAACTCCGTCGCGCAGTTTCTTCCAATCTACTGGCTTAAGTTTTCTCAGATTCATATGTAGCGCACGCCGAATCCAATCGGCATTTCCAAAATGTCGCTTCAAAACTTCGACTACTACTGTATAATTCTCTTCTGTAACAGCGTAGCCAGCTACAACACGCTGTGCTGTTCCTTTGAGGCAACTTAATAAATAATTCAGTTTCTGAACTGAAGCAATGTTTTGTTCATCAACAGCGGCTCTGAAACTGGTCCAAAACTCGGGCCATTTCATTGAGTCTCTTTCAGACTGCATGAGTTGAATCTTCGGTAATTTGATGTGCTGAATATTTGTCGCTTGCTTAGTACAATTAACTTGAAAAGGCGACGGCGTTGTTTCTTAGAGACGATCCAGAGCTATTTTAATGGTTGACTGCTGAGACCGCAATAAACTAAGATTGGGTTATTAAACCTTTTTCAATAATCTTTAACACCCAATAATATCATCGTGAAGCGATTGTCACGCAGACACGCTTCGGTCAGCTGACAGTGTCAATTTTTGAATTACGAGAAACAAATGGAACACTGGAGGCAGATGTTGAACTGCAAAATCAGACACAGCAGAATCTCGCAAAAGAATTGGATTACAAGGCAAAACAGTACGCGATACTGAGGAACTTAGTAAACAAGTCCGTCATCTGCTGCATTTTATCGAAGTTGGAAATTTGTGTGCCATGGATTCTTCGGTAAGCAACGGGGATCGCAATCGACTGTGGTCTTCCATCGAACAGCTACAGGGTGTGAATCAAAAACTGATGACCGAACTGCACATAATAAACGCAAAACAAAATCTTGGTTCTAAAATCGCGAGTACCGAAGAACTAGGGTGCAAAACCAAAACGCTAGATGGCTTTTCAGATATTAGTTTCCTTCCGGGCTTTTCGAAAAGAATCCTTTCTGCTATCAAGTAATAGGAGGCAGGTGCCGTTTCTCTTTTGACATTGTTTCTGGTACTTTGATACGCCTCTTTCCCAGCTTCTGTGCGAACTTTAGGAACTGGATCATTGTTCGGCATAATTTATTCCAGTTACGATGAGCACTATATGGAACTCGTTAAGGAAGCAAACATGGGCTGTTCGACAGACATAACACTTCCCTCCACTTTATCCCGCACACTGCTCAAGAGGGAAGTAAAGCAGGGCGATCTCACATCGGCCAAGCTTTTCGCGGCACGCCTCGAAATGTTACTTCGGAAACTGAATTGGAAGAGTGGTTTGAATATCAACGGCAAACAACTAAGTAACGTAATCCTCGTGAAACGAGATGCTGCGGAAGCTCAACGCACGAAATAAGGAAATGAGTCTACCAATCAACTCAACAAAAACGAAAATGATGCGCAGCCCTGGTGCGCTCGCTGCAAGCAGATGGTGCGGACTTAAGAGATGTTGACAGCTATTTCTATCTTGAACAAGAAATGTGCGTCAAAATCTTCGCCAGGGAAACTGTGGTGCACATACATCGAACAGACGCTGATTACTGACTGAAGGCATGTAGCTCAGGATGGAAGGGCTAAGCACAGCTACGGCATGCGGGAGCATTCTAGCAACACCAGAACAGAGAACATCCACAATGATAGCCCAAACAGACTTGGTATTCCCGCACATATATACACGTGCACGGGGATTCCTTTACCATATATATATACGTGGTAAAGGAATCCCCGTGCACCTGTATATATGTACGGGAATACCAAGTCTGTATATGTATATATGCGTATATACATGTAAACACACATGCACACAAATCGTGCCTTAAGTGTTTTGAATCCTGATACAGTGCAAAATAGTAAAAATAACTTCCGTGCTATGCCATGGTAGAGGACAGCATTACTGTAAGTCGTAATTAGCCCTTGATTTTGATGCTTGAATGAGACAGGATGGACTACTTTTATGAGTAATAAATTTTCAGCGTGCTTAAATTCGCTCGTCAGAACGACGAACCAGACATCGCACGTGTTAAGCTCATTATGGTAAATAACAGCAGGCGTCAAGCCGACTGGCGAATTCGAGTCACCAATGACGTGGTCACGGTCGGGTTTTTGTTTAATGTGTTTTGGTAAATGCTAAAACTTATCCACCATTTCATGGACAGAAAGAACACTCCGGAGGTAGCACAGGCACTTTTTTTGATAGAGTAAGCTAAATTCACCATCGCAGTTGTTCTTGTCATCAGCCCAGCTGACATTTTCGTTCTGGACAAAGTGTATTCAAGCAACACATCGAGTCGGCTTTTCTGAAAATTCAACTGTTAAGCAAAAAGTCAAAAATTTGCTTCAAGTTATCACTGGTAGATAGTTACAGCGACCCGACGGTCCTGTGTAAGAAGCACCTTGACAGCCAGAAAAATCCGCATGCTGCCTCACTAACAAACAGTGTGTAACTTTACTGATTACTAAGTTGACAGTTGACGCCCCATAAGGAAATGCAGTTTCTGCGCAAAAGACGAGACGTGCGTGACTGGAGGTAGTCTAGTTTTATGGCCAGGCTCGAATGACAGAAATGTTAAACACATCGGTTCTCGATAAGTGAAACTGGAAAAGTTTTTTGAATATCAAACTAACACTAGTCTGGTGGGTCCCCGCATACAGCAGCATTTTTTCAGTCGCTGTATGGAGGGCCCGACAAAAAACGGTTATGGTACGGGCAAAGGAAAATAGACGGGCCATACCTCAGCTTAACTTCTTCAGACGAACTAAGACGGCACACATTTCCCAATGAACTTCCAGGCAACACCAAAAGAGAAAGGCTCGATGGAGGGATTTGGAAGCAGCGAGTGCACTCTAATCTGGCAACGTCCTCGCGCGCTCCACAGCTGGAACGAAGTACCAATGCTTAAACTGATGATTTCTGTCAAATTAATTGCTGCAGAAACAGGGAACGTTGTCGGCGAAGCGGACACCAAATTTAAGGGTGAGCAGCAGCTATTTCTAATAGCGAGCCCAACGCTCGCGCATATTTACTTACTTTCAAAAGCACCCGTGCGTTTAATACACTCTACATGCTTGAACTGCTCTCGTAATTTCTTCAATGTTACAGCCATAGTAGATCCGGATGCAATATGTACAGCGGAGGAGCCGCCTCATTTCAGGGTTATTTTTAACTCGGAAAAAGCTCTTTTGGATCGGAAACACAAAAATCGATCCAACTTACAGACCGCCAAGTAAGTTTAAATTTAAATATTCCCTCAGCCGCAATATTTTCTTGTCAATTTCTATTTAGTGTATTTGATTACAGGTCAAAAACCGAATCAAAACGTTTCACAGCAGCACCATCGGCACCTCCACAGGCGGCACATTCAAGAGCTGTTGAGAACACATCAAAATTCTTGCTTTTTGGATTTTTATGTTGCCTGCTCGCTGTTGTTATTTCTAGGTTACTGGCCGGAGAATAAATTTCACGCACATCATAAACTGCTCTGCTTAAATTCGTTGAGTTGCAAAATCACGTTTATAATTTATTTTGATGGTAATAACAAGAATATTGCATACAAACGATATCCAAGACAGCGAAAGAAATAGATGTTCCAGCTGCACAAGTAACGAAATAGCATACCTACAGAAGCGCAACGCCAACAAGGAGTAAAAATACGTAGTGCGTGCGGGAGAAGGTCTAACTTGTACGATATGCGCGTGAATCTGTAATGTCCTGGAACATGGGAGTTATGCGAGTGGTGGAT